AAAGTATTATTCATAAAGTATTATTAATTAGTAATAAAGTAGAAAATGGAGGAAATTACTTTGATTAAGGTATTCATTCATCTTCCCTTCGAAACAAATCAATTTTGGAGACGAAAAACGGCAGGAATTAAGTTTAACACCTAATAATAGTATTATAGTATCCTAATTTATACTTTAATCTTTCCGATTCAGAGAAAGTAGATAGTATTCGAATTTTGTATGGTACTCGTCTACATTCTTGTATTTTAACTTGTTTATTCGTTATTGCATAAATATCGTGAGAATTTAAACAATTCTTCAGTATTTATGACTAACAAATAAATCGAGTATAATCTTTATTGTTCATATATCTACATTTGGAATATATGGAGTTTATGAACGATTTGGCTCTTGCATAAAATGAACTCCACGTAGTACAATAGCGCCTGCAAAGCACTTAGAAAGCGCTTTCTAAGCGCTGCTGTGCTACGTACGTTTTAGTTTAAAAACATGTATTTTGAAGCGAAAGGAAAAAAATGCGTGTGATAGAATAAGTACAGTCGGAAGAGTTACATGCATCGCTGAATAATTACATAAATATCATTATTAATTAGATGTAATTTAAAAAAAATTGCATACGGTAAATTCTTAAAGTACGGTATACTCTTTATGGACGCGAAGGCAGTGAGAGAGAAAAAAAAGAAATTTTCGATGTGTATATCATGATTTTTTGTAGAGTTACGGATTGTAAATATGATTAGAATGCATTTTTGTATAAATTGTGGAAACATTGTTAAAATTAAACAATTTTATACTTAAAGGTTTGTACTAAATTCCACTAGATATATTTTGGTATGTATAAGATACGCTTGTACATTCCCACTTGTCTGTTTTATGCTTCCATTTGTTTTCATATGTTTATCTAAAGTGATTAAAACAGATTAAGGTACATATAATGATAGGAAAAAAATGCTTTCTAAATATTTAAAAGAGAGAAGTTTTAACGTTCTTTTGAATGATTTTCCGAATGTATATTTCCTCTGAAGTATAAAATGTAATTTAATTTCAATTGTTGATTGATTCGTTATTGTAAATCGAAATAATTATTCATAATAAGAAAAATATTATTTTAATTGACAGAAAATATATTAAGCCTCAAGCACATTATATTCACTGTGCTGCAATGTACATACATACGTTTTCACCTACTATTAGTTATGATTGCGAAAATGATCGGCAATCTTGTCGATATTAAACTTTAGTCCTTGGGCATTTCTTAAATCTATTGCACTTTTAATTACAATACGTCTCTATTCTCTATATATATTACATATAACATGGATGAAATTCAACATTAAGAGATTACAATATCTAATTAAACCCCAAAAACAGATCCTGCTCGTTATTGAAAACACAATAAAATTATATATAAATGACGGTCAAAGACGAGCGAATAATCAAATGTTAAAATATAATAAACTCTTATAATAATTTTAATGTTAAAATTACAATAAATCGTATGAAACTAGTTTTGACTTTACAAAGTCTTCATCAGTCGCGATAATTTACGTAAAATGTTACATAATCACAAAAAATCCGGAATCAAATGCAATCAACAAATAAATATTCTCTATTATTCGTAAAGCCTTATTTTACAATTTAAATATTCTCTCTAGTCATCTTCAAGAAAATTAGTTTTTTGTAATTATGTAACATTTTAACAACTTTTATGTAAATTATTGCAACTGATGAAGACTTTGTAAAGTCGAAACTAGTTTCGCACGATTTATTGTAATTTTAACATTAAAATTATTATAAGAGTTTATTATATTTTAACATGTGATTATATTCGCTCGTCATTTATATATAATTTTATTGTGTTTACAATATCTAAGTTTACATTATTTTCCAAATAGCGATTGTGTTCAGTTTAGCATAGCTTACATTTTTTTGCTAATAACTTATCAGCAGCGTTTTAATGCGATCAATAATAATTGACCAAGGAAACCTAATTCTTGGCAAAACAAGCATTATGTAATTGCGCTTGTATTTTTCTTCCAAGAATAATTTCTAAGATTCAGTATATTTATTGGCAGGTGTTCTCTGTTTTTTAATATTCTACAAAATGAATGCGTGTTATAGAATGTAGAATTATAAATGTTTGTTTGTGGCCGCAAACTAGCTATCACATATGTAACAATCATGATTATCCAATCGTTTGCGCAATTTCCACACTGTAATGCCGTTTATATTCTGCATCAAATATCAATTTTCTTATGAATTACAACGATTACATGATAAGCCGTAGCACAATCCAAATAATGTTAAAGTTGTTTTCGTTTAACGAAAGTTATATATCGCATTGATTTTCAACAACTTCCTATAAGTTTTAAATAGATATAAGTACTCAAATAGAAAATTTACTTATTATACAAAAAAATTTACTTTATTGTACAAAAACAAATGTTTTAAGGTTTTATATGATCGGTCAAATTTCGAAATTTATATTATGAGTGCTATATATATAAAATATATATTATATGTATAGGGGAAACCGGGGCTAAATGAGTACCTTTTTTTCAATTGCGGTTTTCAATAATAAAACAAACGATTTTAGTCAAATGATTATTAGCGTTTTATAGAGTGATTATAAGACTACAAGATGACAATAAAAAGTTTTGGTATTTGCAACTTCATTTCATCCATATGTTTCAATTACACAAAAAATGATGTGATCTTGGAAAATGAAATCTCAAGAATGCTGGGGCTAAGTGGGCACCCTTTTCTTCAATTGCAATTTGCAATAACAAAGTAAACGATTTTAGTCAAATAATTATTAGCGTTTTATAGAGTGATTATAAGACTGTAAGATGACAATAAAAAGTTCCAGTTTTTGCAACTTTATTTCATCTGCACACAAAAAATGTGATTCGAAAAATGAAATCTCAAAAATTACTTTTGACTATCGAAAACACGTTTGACTACCTAAATATAATAACGCGGCATCTAAACGAACCAAACTTCGTTAGTAAAGAAGACACACAAGATCATCTACAATATAAATTGGGAACTCATAAGATATATTTTTGCCACTCAAAATTCAAATGCCAGTTTAGCCTCGATGTCCACTTATTGTTAGTCCCGGTCTCCTCTACTGTATAATATGTATGTATATGTCGATATATTATTCTATTTGGAAAACTACATCGTGTTTCTTAAATTCTTTCATGCTATGGCATACACGTTTATGTGATCGTACACGGTCTTGGTCACAGTTAACTGATTTTAGGAAAAATATAACACGAATTGAGTGTTGAAGTTAAATTTGTATTATTTTAAGAATATGAACGGTTCATATAATGAAACATGTATCTTTTTTAAAAAATGTCATCATTTTTAAAATGTACAGGACTCCGTATATACACTTTTCATTGCTGCTGTATGTTATTATTATTATTATATATTATTATATACGAGATGTGTTCGTCATGATAATTACGAATATTTTTATATCGTGACCAAAATGAATCGAATATGTAACTATTGCGAAATATGTAATCTTACATTATCTATTAATCCGTTTTTTTTTTTTTCGAATATGTCTTAGTCGAAAAGACGTTCGATAATAACATATTAATACATGAAAGCATCGCGACAACGATATCTGATAAAAAGTAACGTAGTTTACGAAGGATGTTATTTGGAATTTTGAGATCTCATGTTAATCGATCGTATTATAGATGCAATCAAGTAAATATTCGGAATCTTTTCGTACGAGTCGGTCGCGTTAGTATTATCTTCCTGATGAATAAAAAAACGCACAATTTTCAATCGTACGCTGTTAATGTTGGCGTTTAATATACGATTTCTAGCATAATCGAATAATATATTTCGTACATAAATAAATAGAACAATTTGGAGTAAAGTTTTTGTCATTTAGAAATTTGAAAAAACTTTCGAATTTACGAATATTGTCGACGTCTATTTCTCTTCTTGATAGCATAAGTTTCATTATCGATCAATCAGCATGTTCCTCTTAATCATGTAACCAAATTAAATTGCAGATACGTAAGGAATATCTGTGATTCATTGAAAATCGCTTAAAATATCTTAACCATGCTTACATTTAATGAGAATGTCGTCTACCAAGGATGTATCATCTCAGTGCCAATTTGCAAAAATAAAGAACAGCTGTCACACGCTAGTTCTGTAGGCGATATGCATTATTCCATTCTAGCAGATGCAAAACTGTAGATTTTAATTTTTTAATTGCAAGTATTGATTGATTGTTTTATAAGAGGACGTAATGTAAAGCTAGTGTAGCTTATTATTCCAAAGATTTGTACTTGGGCTGTGCATCTTTGTCACGGTAATATTAATATAAATCAATTGATGATGTTAGATTGAACATGTAACGAATGACATCGCAAACAGGATTCAACGAACTGTATCTGTCATACAAAGTCTTTGTTTGCGAAGCAAGACCCATAGCTGCTCAAGCTTGTTCAAGAATGTTTTGTATATTATATCGATTACGAATATATATATATATATATTCACAATACAAATTAAAAGATGGTTTGCAAAATGCAAAGGCAGATAATAAAGATACCTGATTTTAGTTAATTGGGACATGTGGTTTTATTGATTCCTCCAAGGACATACAACGGATGCACAATGATCCATCGAAAATGCACAACTGTTAACACATAGCATGCAAATAATTGTTTCCAATGGTTCAATATCAATATTATGACAGTGGTGTAATTATTTGTAAATATAACAATATTTATCAAACATACATCCACATGGACAAACATTTCAAAAAAAGATTAAAATTTCATGACTTAATTATTTCAAGACTTAAAAATAATTTAAATGAAATTTAAATATAATTTTTGAATATGTGTGTTTTCAAAAAATATATAACTGCTTATAAAATTAAAATATCTAAATTTTGATTTTCTTCAATTTTGCAATTAGATTCAAAGAAACTTTTCTTAATCTACTTAAGACTGAAAACCTATAGTTACACCAATGCCATGTATTTTTACTTTCTTTACACAGAGAGAAAGGATAAATATAGATGATCACATTTTCTACATTTTCGTTTCTTAAGAGCATCGTTCTCTATAATTTATATTACACTTTTTAACGTATCAAAAAAGAAATGCATAAAACATATCTAGATTAAATTGATACCGAAATTACAAATCTAAACTTGCACCATTTCTTTTTTTCTCCTGACTTTCAGTCCATGCTTTTGCTATGGTTTTCTTCGTCTCATCGTCGCCATCCTGATACATTTTTTTCATAAGATTTATCAGGCTAGCGCCAGGATCAGTGTCCTCACCTAGCTCAGGCATGGATGGTGAATTCGCGTCCTTGATTCTCTTCTCTACCAATGTGACGTGTGACCACTCTTTGGCAATCTTTTTTGTGAGTGACACGACAATCATATCAGTTTTTATTTTAAAGTTACTCTTCTCAATATTGATCTCCGCACACAAATTGTTAATCGGTAAGTGATAATTTTTATTATCTAGTCCAAATATGCGTAGATTCAGAGATTTCTCTGTAAAATTGCAGACAACGGCCTCCTTGGGCAGCTGGTGAACATTGCTTAATGTTATGTAAATCTTCATTGTCGTATTCGTCTGATCCCATCCATAATTGTTCAGTTTTACTTCGTAACACTTTTGGACAGTATTGAGCGAAGAAGTTGTCGTAGATGAGTTCTTCTGTTCCAGTAATTTTGCCGTTTCTATCTGTGTTTGCAGTTTCCTGATTTCCAGCATTAATATATCTTTGATTCGTTGTCTATTAGCCTGCTTGAGTAAATTGTTGAGCTCCACAATATCTAATTTTATCTGTGGAAAAAAATATTAAAATACTGCTTAAGAAAATACCTTATCTGACAAAGGAATGATTAATTAAATTTATCTGCAAAAAATTTTGAATGTCATATACTTAAAATTTTTATTTATGATAGCAAAATTATATATAGAGAAGCGAATAATTCTGCATCACAACTTGTTATCATTTAAACACTCATGACAAACTCAACTTATCTTATTTTTTTTTCCTTTCAAAATGTGAACATAAATTGGATCACATTTTATATACATAAAGTGCAGAAAAGTGTAACTAAAAATTAACAATAAAATATTTACCTCCTCGATCTTTGTTGCCATTGTTGCTAGATTTTACAATATTACGAGTTTTACACGACACCGAGATGAAATGGATGTTAATGGACAGATATCCAGAAATTCACTTTTCAGCAAAACGCAAGAGACTACAGAACGAATCAGATTGACCAGGATTGACTGACCTGACTGTCTGAATCTTCTAGAACTTTCTTTGTTGCCTCTGTTGAGGTTATTAAAGAAAATATATATAACACTCAGTTATTTCGAGTCTGTTCTCTGTAGTTGCACTGTTCCACACGTTTTGCACTTGATATGAGATAGATATATAATTAAATGTTGGAGGGAAAAGAATTGTACAGAAAATATCGCCGAGAAACAGATTCTTTATCACGTGAGTTGCACTGATTATGGACGTTCTACGTTCTACGTAGACAAAAGGTTTGTTCACGTCGTATGCTGGATTCACATGCTGGATTCACACTGCATCCGATTTGCGTCGTACGATGCTCTGCAAGTCTGCAACCAATCAGAAAATAGGATTCCGATGGATTTTGCTTTGTATTATCGGAATCCTATTTTCTGATTGGTTGTGTCATACGACACAAATAGGATGCAGTGTGAGGCTGGAGTTCATGAGGTGTATTTACCGCGTATCGCGTAACCGCGTAACCAATCAGAAGCGATCCGCTGTTGTGGTTTCGTGTTTTACTGATTATTGATTGGTTACGCGGTTACGCGATACGCGG